CGTGTTTTGCTTCCACAGTCAGATTTCTCCACAGGTGGGCATGGGAAACTGGCAACCAGCACTTTATACAACATTCAAAACTCTGGTGCTGCTCTGGGAAAGCTCCTTCTCTGTTTTACCACACCTCTGCTGAGGAGCCTTTCCTACCCGTCTCTGCTTCACTCACCCCTAAACTGGAAGTGCTTAGTGTCTCTTGACATCCATTTTGATCTTTTCCTTCTTTCTTGTCTTCTTAATGACTTTTTGTTTTCTTCCCGTATGATGTTCTTCATGTCATCCCATAACTTGTGGTCTTCAGTCTTTAGTGTTTAATGTATCACATCTGTTCTTCAGATGATCTCTAAATTCAGGTGGGCTATATTCAAGGTCAAATTTTGGCTCTCGTGGACTTGTTTTCATTTTCTTCAGCTTCAGTTTGAATTTGCATATGAGTAATTGATTGGCTGTTCCACAATCTGCCCCTGGCCTTGTTTTGACTGATGATATGGAGCTTTTCCATAGTCTCTTTCCACAGATGTAGTCAATTTGATTTCTGTATATTCCATCTGGCTAGGTCCATATGTATAGTCATCTTTTATGCTGTCTAAAGAAGGCATTTGAAATGAACATATCATTGACTTTGCAGAATTCTATCATGCGATCTCTAGCATCATTTCTATATCAAGGCCATATTTTCTAACGACTGATGCTTCCTTTTTATTCCCAACCTTTGCATTCTAATCACCAGTAATGATCAATACATCTTGATTACATGTTTGATAAATTTCAGACTGAAGAAGTTGGTAAAATCCTTCTATTTTGTCCTCACTGACTTTAGTGGTTGGTGCATAAATTTGAATATTTGAGCTATTAACTGATCCCCCCTGTAGGCACATGGTTTGTTGTACTGTGGTGGCTTGTGAGTTGCTGTGATTCTGGAAGCTATGCCACAGGTATTTTAAATGCCAACAGGGTCACCCATGGTGGACAGGTTTCAGATGAGTGTCCAGATGAAGACAGACTAGGAATAAGGAGTGATGAATTACTTCTGAATATTTAGTCACTGAAAACCTTATGAATAGCAGAGAAAACCTCAGATCTTGTACTTGCCCTAAATTCAGGAAATGACCCTTCCAAAGTAATGATTATTGAAGTACAAGACATAAGACAAACTATAGCTATAGAAACAGGATATGTGGATGAGAATGCTTGGTTGGAATGGATTAAATATGCTGTTTGCACTCAAAATAAGAGCCATTATTACACCTGTGCAACAGGAAGACTGGAAACCCAAGTGCTCCCCTTTCCATTCAGATAGTCCTCAGACCCTCAGGGCATATACTGTATGGCTGCTCTCTTCCAGGACCCTATAGCCTGGGAAAATGAATTCTGTAACTCATTTTTACTGTGCCCTAATGTCAGGGGTCTTATAGGACAACCACCGAGTCCATTAGGCCTCCAGCCTCGAATATCAATTTCACTTTGTGTGTCTCCAGACATAGGGGGAACTTGATGTTCATCGGAAACCTGATGAGATACAATGAGCACAAACTCTTTGAAGAGCTTCAAAACCAGTCATCCCTAGCTACCCTGCAAGTAGATGTCTGGTGGTAATGCTGAAAACAATTATTCAGGGACTTACCAGCAAATTGGAGTGGCACCTGTGCTTTAGTGCAATTGGCCATCCCTTTCACCCTGGCATTCCATTAGCTGTCAACCACAGAAGACAGGCAGGCATAGGACCAATAGAAGTATAGCTACTCCCTGTGGCTCTTTCTATCCCCATGTTTACATAGACAGTATTGGATTTTCCTGAGGGATACCAAAGGATTTCAAAGCCAGAAACCAAATAGCTGCAGGGTTTGAATCTGCATTAGTCTGGTGATCAACCATTAACAACAATGTGGGCTGGATTAATTATATCTATTATAATCAACAAATATTTGTAAATTATAACAGGAAAGCTATAAAAGGAATAGCAGAGCAATTAGGACCTACCAATAAAATGGCCTGGGAAAACAAGTTTTATGATATTAGCAGAAAAAGAAGAAGTATGTGTTATAATCAGAGTCCAGTGAACACAGCTCCTGATGGTACCATTACCAAAGCATTACAAGGACTGACCACCTTAGCTGACGAACTTGCCAAAAATTCAGGCATACATGACCCCTTTTCTAATCTCATGGAACAATGGTTCGGAAAATGGAAGAGGTTTATGACTTCAGTCCTCCCCTCTCTAATGATCGTATATGGTGTATTAACACTAATGGGATGTTGTATTATACCCTGTATACGAGAATTCGTTCTAAAACTTATACAAACAGCCCTATCCAAACAACCTCCACCTCCATATCAAAATAAGCTTTTTCACTTAGAAACATGCAAACACGAAAGTCAATGCCTCCTTGCAGAGTTTGAAGAAAAGAATGAAGAAATGTAACAAGAAGCAAAAGGGGGAATTGTGGGAATGAGTGTCTTTTCTTCAAAGTTATTATAATCCTGTTTATTGTATTCGAGTAACCTTTCTTTCACTTTTACTGTTTCCTGAAGTGAGTAGGGACTTTATGATCTTTATTTTTCTTCTTACTACTTCCTGGAGTAAGGACTTTCCAAATTCCTTAAGCTCCCCTAGCAATTGAAATAGCCAATGAGTAAGGACAAGAATGTGCGTCATAGCAATTTAAATTAGCCAACCAGGTAAGGACAAGATTGTGCAGTCGAAGCCCTAGCCAATGGGGTGAGACACAGATTAAAGACTTGCGTGAGGGATAAAAACCTCAGCGGACTGCCCACCCAGTGTGCTCGCTAGCTTGTACAGCTACATACAACCTTCTGCAGAAGTAAATTTTCCCTTCCGAGGTAATTTAGTCTTATTGAGTGTCTTTTAGTACAGCATTGGGGGTTCATTTCTAACACATATAATTAACCCTTTGGTACCTGATTTGTTATGCTATTGTTAATGATGTTTTAAAATAAATTTAGTTTTCCTACTTTCCATTATTAATATATAGAATTACAGTTGATTTGGGGAATTGACTTTGTATTTCATTATCTTGAAAAATTCAACCAGTAGATTTTTGTTTGTTTGTAAATTTCATATCTCTTTTGTGTAAAAAAGAAAGGAGGAGTAATCTATATACAATTATGTTATCTATGAAAACGAGTAGTTTTTGTTGTTGTTTTTTAATCTTTTTGCTTTCTTGCCTTATTGCTTAGTAATTGTCATGGATGAAAGCTGATACCATTCATTATCTTGTTCCCAATCTTAGAAAAGAAGCATTCAGTATTTCACTATTAATTATGATGTTATCTGTAATCAGTTGACATGGAGTGAACTGTGACTCATGATCACCTCACATGTGTCAAAGTCTAATTATGCTCCTTCAGATTTTCAATGATTGATTTTTTAGAAGTAGATCAATAGGCCTTTATTCCAAAATGCTTCGGTGGATTTGAACCTTTTGATTAGCAGCTGAGTGTGACAACCCTTTGCACTAGCCAGGAAATACATCCAAAGTTACCATTTAGTGGTTTGGTACATTCAAGTCAGTTCCAACTCATAGCAACCCATGTATAATAGAACAAAACACTATCTGGTTCTGCACCATCTTCACTAATGCTTTGGTGGTGCCTGTGTGCCGTGGAGTCGGTTTCAACTCATAGCATCTCTATACAGGGTTTCCGAGGGTGTAAATCTTTATGGGAACAGAAAGCCTTATCTTTCTCCAGCGGAACAGCTGGTAGTTTCCAACTGCTGACCTTGCGATTCGCAGCCCAATTCGTAACCACTACGCTATCACAGTAGCCCTAAAATCGATTCTCTGACCATTTCTTCATATTCTAATATATCTTTTATAATACCACAAACACAGTATAATGAAGACTATTGTTGTGTTATGGTTGAACTCATTTTTGCAGTTACTGTGTCAATCCGTCGCTGAGGATCTTCCTCTTTTTCATTGAGCCTCTACCTACCAAACATGATATTCTTTCCTAGGGACTGGTCCCTCCTGATAACATGTCCAAAATGGGTATGATGAAGTCTCACTATTTTCTCTTCTAGGGAGCACTTTGGCTGTACTTCTTCTAAGACAGATTTGCTTGTCCTTCTGGCAGTCCATGGTTATTGTTGTTAAGTGCCGTTGAGTTGATTCCCACCCATAGCAACCCTGTATAGGGTTTCCAAGGAGCAGCTGGTGAGCTTGAATCACCAACTTTGCTGGTCAAATGACTTTTCAGTCTGATGCATTAGCCCACAGCGCCACTGTTTTCTCTTCTAAGGAGCACTTTGACTGTACTAGTTCTAAGAGATTAGCTTGCCCTTCTGGCAGTCCATGATAGAATATGCTTTATCAGATTAAGAAAATTCATTTCTAGTTTCAGTTATCTGTGGGTTATCAATTGGCTTTTGTCAAATGCCTTTTTTCCATTTATTGAGATAATTATATGATTTTCTCTCATATTGTCTGATGAATTATGTTGGATAAAAAATAATGAAAGATCCAACTACAAACTACAAACCAGAATGAAAATTTACTGTGAGTACTGTCACATTACAAGGATTTAGTAGCACATTCCTTTTGGATCTCCCCCCGCCCCCAACCATTTTAAATGCCAGTGGAGTTCTTGCATGTAAATGGTTAAACACTAGACTACTAACCGGAGTACTAACACACTGTTGATGGTTTGAGTCCACGGAAAGGTGACATTACGTCACAACCTTGAAAATCCTATGGAGCAGTTCTACTCTGCAACACATGGAGTCGCCATGACTGGAATCCATGGCAGTTGGTTAGGATTTTTTGGGTTCTGCACACCTCTTTTACTTCAAAAGCGCTTCCCAAACCCTTCAAGTGAAGCAGAAGACCTCAGGGCAGACGAGTAGTTGGGACAAATAACCACCTGCACTTTGACTCTACTTTAGGTGGACTTGGGTATCTTGGGACTTAGCACCACCTCCGTATTATTTTCAACCCTTCCCCAACCCCTCCTCCTTAAGTGCACTATTTTGTTCTGGGCAGGTTCATTCTCCTGGCCATACTCCCTGTGTACAGCCTCACCACCAGATGGGTGCGTAGGAGAGCCCTGGGCACAGGTGAGCCACTCCCAGGCCTTGCCTGCCACTGCCACCTCCTGGGAGTCTCCGGAAACCCACAGAGCGCTGGGCCCGATGAGTCCCCACAGCTTGGCAGCGTGAAAAGCCGGAGTTTCCAGCTGCACCCCATCGCCCCCGCGCTCAAACAGAGCCAGGAAGTCGCAGGCGGGACGCCAGAGTGGAGGAGCCGGCACCTGAGTCGAGCCGAGCGGGAGCGCACCCAGTCCGGGAACGCAACCCCAGAGCCGGAACATCCCCCACAGGCGATGGCATCGCCCCTCCTGCAGCCTCCTCCTGCCGAGTTTCCCTGCTAAACGCGTTTTCTTTTCTTTCTAGTTACTTTAAAAAGAAACAACAAGGCTAAACAAAACTGCTCTCTAGTTGCCTTATCTCTTTTATCACCCCCACATTGTCCTCCAGCCGCCTCTTTTATCTTCAGAGGGCACCCACCCCTGCCTCTCACCAGCTTTCTGAACTGTCTCTGACACAGCATCCCGGTTTATGAAGAAGTGACAGCCATCCACACCCCAGGCTCTGGGACAGACGCAGGCTTCCAGGTAAGGATGGGGCTACTGGGCTCCCCTCCCCACTGCTTTCAGACCCCCTGTGGGGACTGAGAGTCTGAAAACCAGATCTGTGGAATTAAAGAAATAAGTATCTATACCTA